AAAATCCAGAAGGACAATGTTGCGAGGTGGATTGAACTACTGCAGGAATACGACTTTGAGATCGAACATCGCAGCGGGAAATCTCATGGCAACGCAGATGCATTGTCAAGAAGACCTTGTCCTGAAGATTGCAAACATTGTACTAGGCAAGAGAGTAAGGAAGTAATATCCGTGACACTCGTTGCTGAGGTGGTCCGCCCTGAGCATCCGCTCAGGGCAGACCACCTCAGCAACGAGTGGAAGGACAGCTTACAACGTGCACAGCAGGAAGATCCGGACATCAAGCCGATTCTGGAATGGATGAAGGCCAGTGCTCCCAAGCCCAAGTGGAGCGACGTCTCAGCGATGAGTTCGACCACTAAAAGCTATTGGGCCCAGTGGGACAGCTTGCTGCTTCAGGATGGAGTTCTGTGCCGTAAATGGGAAAATGTTCGGGGAGACAGCTGTCATTTGCAAATTTGTCTTTTTTTTTACTTTTTTTTTTATTCGGTTTTACTGGGTCCACTGTCGAAACGATGTCGAGGACTGGTGTCGCAAATGTACAAGTTGTGCGGCTGTAAAGGGACCTCAGACTCGTAGTAGAGGTGCATTGAAGTTGTACAATGTTGGTGCACCATGGGAGAGAATAGCCATTGACGTGGCGGGGCCGTTTCCGGAGAGTGAAAGCGGTAACAAGTATTTCATGGTTGTGATGGATTACTTCACTAAGTGGCCAGAAGTCTTCGCCATTCCAAATCAAGAAGCTTCAACAGTTGCAGATAAACTAGTTCATGAAGTCTTCTGTCGTTTTGGGGTACCTTTAGAGATTCACAGCGATCAAGGAAGGAATTTTGAGTCTCAAATATTCCAGGAAACTTGCCGAGTTATGGGTACTCACAAAACAAGAACGACTTCTTATCACCCGCAATCTGATGGAATGGTAGAACGATTTAATCAGACATTGGAGAGGTACCTAGCAAAAGTTGTAGACAACCGGCAACGAGATTGGGATAATCACATACAACCGTTTTTGCTGTCATATCGAAGCGCTGTTCACGAAAGTACATCAGTGACACCAGCTTTCGCAAACTTTGGAAGAGAATTACGGCTGCCTGCAGACCTGATCACCGGGATACCACCTGATGCCCCACGCAGTATAACCGATTATGCAAATGACTTGCGGAACAAAATTGAATGACATTTATGAACACGTCAGACAATCGGGCCAGCAAATGTCTGAAAATATGAAAACCCGGTACGACCGCAAAATGAACAACAAAGGGTTCGACGAAGGCTTCACTAGTGTGGTTGCACAATCCGGTCCGCAGCAAAGGGAAATCTCCTAAGCTTCAAGCTAAATGGGACGGCCCGTACCGGATTGTGACCAGGATCAACGATGTAACCTATCGGATACAGAAGGGCTCAAGAGGGACTCCTAAGATCGTCCATGTGGATCGCCTGGCGCGCTATTATGGGGCCGATAATGCTCGGGACGAGCATGTCTTAGGAGGGGGCAGTGTTGCGCGGCTAAGTTGACATCTGGCACTAGCGCCATCTAGTGTCGGGTAACGGAGCGAGGGGAGAACTTTCCAGAAAATGACATCACTAATCTTTCAACCGACAGCGCCATCTGTTGTCGAAATGAAGAACTAAGCTTCTGGAAGCTGACTCTCGAACTTTCGGCGCTTTGTCGATTGGTGCGCGTTTTTACTTGAATGTTCTGGATGATTCGGTACTAATGTGTATTTATAGGCGCTGCAAGGTGCGATCGGTGAAGTATTGAATTTGGCGAGACAAGCGAAGCTTCGGAGCGGAATAAAGTGATCAGTGTGATTAATTATTAGTGTTTTAAGTTTAAATTTGTGTAAAGAAAATTAAAGTGTTAATTTATGTAATTTAGGAAATTTTTATTGTCACGAACCTCAAGCTCGTAAAGTAATATATATATATATAAATATAAATAAAAAAAAAATATATATATATATATATATATATATTACTTTACTTTACTTTACTTATCTTCACGCACAATCCCTAACGGGATAGCCAGAGAGAACAGGTCGCCAAGTGTCACGATCCTTACATACCTCTTTCGCTTCTTTCAGGTTCATTAACTTCTTCATACATGCACGTCTAGGTATCCGAGTACTCTTGACCCTCCCCTCTTCGAGCAATTTGCTCACAAGGTCTTCGAAAGTTAGTCTCGGTCTACCTCGACACCTTTTAATATTTACTTTCGCTCTATATATTTTCTTCACCATTCGGTCTTCACTCATTCGTACAACGTGCCCATACCATTGGAGTACGCCCCTATCAATTTTTGTGATAAGGTCATCTTTCAATCCTGCCATATTGCGAATCTCTTCGTTTCGCTTTCGGTCGGCTATGGTAACGCCACACATTTTACGAAGAGATCGCATCTCCACTGCATTCAACTTGTTTTTATGCTTCTTCTGGCGTACCCAGGTTTCGCTGCCATATAACAAAGTCGGTACCAACACTGCGTTATGTATTGCAAGGCGTGCACTCTTCACCACGCCTTGCCTTTTACTAATGCATTCAGGGCACCATTGACTTTGTTTCCGGCAGCGACACGCCTATCCACATCTAAATCACATCTTCCAGCCCGGCTGAAAGGAATCCCCAAGTATACAATTTCATTTACCTGTTCTAGACATTCCTGATTTACCCATATTTCACATTTCGTTCTCTCTTCGTCCTTTTCAAATACCAGAACCTTAGTTTTATTAGCATTCAAACGGAGACCTTTAATTTCACATTCCTCTTTCATACACGTGACTAATGCCTACAGTTCTGCTTCTGATGGTGCAATAAGCACTGCATCATCAGCATACAGCAGACAATTAAATTTTATGTCACCCAATTTCACACCCACAGAATATATATATATATATATATATATATATATATATATATATATATATATATATATATATATATATATAATAAAATACCAATAAAAACACTATTTATTTATATTTTATTTATTTATTTATTCACAAATTACGTTACATGTGACTTAGAGACTAAACAAAACATGAAAGTTCTAACAATCACGTGCACCTCGAAAGGCATAGCAATGAACAGGAGAGGGGCAGACACTTAAAAATTCTTTTCCTCAATGTATTCATTCATTGAATAATAACTTTTTTTAATAAGTATCTCTTTTAAAGATTTTATGAATTTATTAATATTTGTTTCGGCTTTTATGTATTCCGGCAATTTATTATAAATTTTTATTGACATCGAGTAAGGGCCTGTACTATGTAATTTTAATTTAGATTTTGGTTGCAAAAGGTTATTCTTATAGCGAGGTACGTTGTGTCGGGGCGCGTCTATGATTTTAGTGTAAAAACTTGGGTGTCTTTTTACAAATTTAAATATTTCTAATATATATAGGCACGGTAATGTTAGAATTTTGAGACTTTGAAAGTGAGGTTTGCAGCTTTCTCTTTGTTTGATATTTGCAAGTACGCGTATACATTTTTTTTTGTAAAATAAAAAGTTCGTGTGAGTCTACACTGCTGCCCCCATAGTATGATGCCGTAGTTTAGCCACGCTTGAGCGTAGGCGTGATAGGCTGTTACTGCCGTTTTTAAACTTGTAAATTTTTTAATTCTCTTAAAGCATATATAAATTTTGATAATTTTAACTTATTTTTTTTTGAATATGTGATTTAAAATTAACATTCGAATCTATATTTATAACCAGCAAAGAAAAATTTTGTACACATTCTAATTTTGTTTGATTATATGTATAATTTATTTCTATTTCATCTTTTTGTCGTGGTCCGAATTGTATTAGTTTAGTTTTTTTGAAATTGACTTCTAAATTATGATCGCTTAGCCATTGTTTTACTTTATTTATAATTATACTAATACATCACTAGCTTCTTCGGAGTAATAGGATATCGACATAGACATAATTCCTTTGGCTGCTAGCATGGTATTCCATCAACTGCTTAATTTTCATTTAATCCATGACCAAGGTGCAATAATTTTTTATCAGGGTTACTCTCCGCTCTCAATTTTAATGTCATCAGTGCTTCTTGAATAAACCCTGGTCGGCTATTGAGGATACCGTACCACTTAGTCAATATCCGTGGTGCAAGCAAACATGTTGCAAAAGTTTTATGTAGATAGCGATAGACTTTTCGTTAATATTTAAGTGTTAGGGCGAAACATCTTAACTCTGTGAAATTATGGTTTTCCAGTCTTACTTTTAAGTAATTGTCTCTTTAAAAGAAAGTGTTCTTCAGTTCCTATCTTTTCTAGTATCTTTTTGATACGGTTGTTTTTGCCGCATCAAAAGGCGCGACATTAAAGTTCGTGCTGTAAAGCACCCGAAACGTCGGGAATCAAAAGTTAAAATTAAACTCAATAAAATCTGTAAGATTAGTTTGATTTAAGTCTTTATTGTATCGAAATTCTTAAATATTTTAAGATGATTAATATTGGTGTCAAGGGCAATAATAAAAAAAAAATCTATTGATATAAACATCTAGACATCACCTCCTCCTTCAAGTTCAAGGTTGGTACAGCTGTATCGGCGTGTAGAGATTGAGCTGAATATTTATTGGTTAAATAAAATTGTCATTTATTTATATTGCAATATTTTTATACAATTTTATAAAAACAGTTGCGTTTTTGAGAGCTCTCACAATTACCGACGTGAGCAATTAACGTGAGTTCAATCACCTTGTTTCGATTATATTGTTGGATTACACTATTTTAGTTTACTGGGATGTCGACACGCCCTTCCTTAGTATTTTGTAATTTTGTTTTGTTATAATGCATGTTGACATTTTAACTATTAATCGTATTTAACCCTCAGCAGCTAATCTACAAAATCTAAAATATGTGTTAATTATAAGTCAATGATTTTCGTATTATTATTAAATGTAAGAGCATGTTCTATATCGTTTCACTTGTTTATCGCATAAAATCCGGTATAATGTTGACGCATCTTTTAGATGTTTGAAGAGTTTAAAAAAATTGCAGGATTCATTGTGGAGTCATCCTACTCCATCCCCGGATCTAATATGGATGCAACAAGCTATGAACGCACGTAACGAGTCACGTGTCAACAACCTCCCAATGTTTTTCTGGGATCCCCAGGTTTGTACATAAACTATCTGATTAAATACAGAGCTCTGCTTATATTACGCTATCGGTGTAAATTTAACAATATGAAATTCGGAAACCGTCATTAAACCATAATCATTATAAATCGGTCGCAATGTAATGAAGTTTTTAAGCAGATCTCTTACACTGAACATGTCTACTGAAAGCGTTATGCGGATTTCGTATATGAATATACATATTTTACTATATTCATGTTAAAGTAAAAAGTTAATAAGGGGCTAAGGGGTTAAATAAGGTAAATAAACTGTAGATGCCTATATGCTTCATTAAACGGTATTTTAATGGGCTAATTTTTAACCTATATCATAGTTATTAACAGATTTATTGTTATTATAAAAATAAGTTGGTGCAAACAAAAAACATTAAGAAATTTTATACAAATTACATCCGTATAACGTGCTTGCATTTGTCATAAGGGAACTTGATGTTACATGGATTTTACAATATATCTTTTAAATTTACTTCAATTTTTTCGATGTAACATCGAGTTTCAATTAACAGAGCGCTTGTCATCCAAAAAGGAATCATGAACGACATCTCTTTGAAAAAAGTTTCTGCCTTTTGGTCATTTATAATCATGTAGCGCCATCTAACAGCGGATTTCATTTTCATTCGTTTATTGAAATTTTAACAGAAAAACTTCATAACGTACTATTATTAGTACCTTTAATGGAAGAATAAAGTAGAATATAATTAAGAAGTCAGAAATAATTTAATGTTGACTCGCCATTCCGACGTCAGGTCTATCAGAATTGTTTACCATATCTATAAAATATAACGAAGTACTTTTGAGTATTTAAATGTTTGTGTCAATACAATATAATTTCACGTGTTTATACTGTAAAATTGCAATTTTTTGTACTAACTGCAAAAAAATGCAAACTATTTTATCGACATTGGCTAAAGGTCATTTCAATAGGTCATATTTGGCATTTGTCTATCTTAGTTGCTTAAATCATCAATTAATAAAATCTTTGATGTACAAAGTACCTAATTGAAAAAAAATTTAGCATTTATTCAGTTGAACTATCCGAATTATAACTAGTGCTATCATCGTCATCACTCAAAGATATTACGGATTAATTTAAATTGTTATTATAAAATCTAAAAAATCGTGTAAAATATTTTTTTTGTTTTTTTCGACGACCATTCTCCAGTGTTTTAACGACATCTGCACATATAGTTTGTAGCAGTGTCAGCATTCAACCTGTGCTGGAGGGTAGCTCATTGTTGTTACGTGCTGCATTTGAAAAAGATTTATTAACTACTTGAATTAAAAAGTGAAATTTACTTATTTTTCATTATTAAAATAAATTTATATTTAGTCACTAAACAAAGTTGTCCAATTGTACCGTTCAATTTTAGGGAAATAAAAAATATTTGCAAAAATATTTTTTACTTTAAAAATGTTAATATTCACTGGTAAACAAAGATAAACATTTTTTAAACTCTCGTTTTGGGTGAACATCACAATCTCATTGTTGTCTAAGGGAGTCCCCACATTTATCGACACGTAATCGGCTTCAGCCGGTTAGAAAACGTCGTCGACGTGTTTAAGTTTCTGACGGCACCCGGCCGTTCTAGGGAATCTACTGCAGAATGCAAAGTGAAAAGCCGTCGCGGAAGCCTTTCAAAGAAGACGATTGCCTATCGCTTATGCCTATATAGCCTTCGCAACAGCTGATTTGCGCTAAGCCGAGTAGTGTGGTGATATGCACTCTGCTTTCTGATTCCGCGTCGATAAATGTGGGGACCCCCTATTTTGTTTTAATTTAAAAACTTCACTACCCAATTCCCCAATTTTTTTCAATTCCCAAATTTAGTGGTGAAAATTTTCTCCAATTTTGTACATATTCATTTGGAGAAATAATCACATAAATGAAATTATTCATAAATGTAACTATTTAGGCGACACTAAGATTTTATTTCATTATGACCTATAAAATGTGTTTCATACGTAAATAATTATATAAGCACATTAAAATTCAAATAAGTATAACTTTAAATTATGATATTTTAAGGCGTGAGCCATATTCACTGAATCGACATAAAATTGTGGGTAAAAATATGCGTGGAGCCTGAGGTACAAATGTGGTTTTAGGCTCTGGAGGTCAAAGTGTGGTGCAAGAAGAGGTCAAACAGATTCACGTCTTGTCATCGTTCTTTTTAATTCTTATAAAAAAGAAAAGTAAGAATATTGATTTTCACAATGATTAACGTGATGACTTTACTCAAAGAAGAAGTTGATGGTATTGATAAAAAATATTGAAATTTAGAAAATTTCAAAGATCAAAATACGAAGAAAAATGTCTCGTTGTACTTGATATGTTAATTAATCTAGAACGATTGGAGATAAAGAATGATCTAAAGAATCATCTTTATCTAATTTTTGAAAATAATCATGTACTACATTTCACTTAAAAGCCATTATTTACCTTATGTGTACTAAATATCGGGAATTTGTCAATAAAACAAAAAATACAAATTATTCATCTAAATTTATTTTATCGCCTTCAAAGTAGGCCCCATCGCTTGCAATACAACATCTCCAACGCTTCACCCAGTCTCCATACATTTTTCATAGTCTATTTGCGGTATGGCCTTCAGCTCATTCAGCGAATTTTTTGTTATGGCTTCTGTCGACTCAAAACGTTTTCCTCGAAGTGGTAATTTTAACTTGGGAAATAAAAAAAAGTCAGACGGAGCCATATCAGGTGAATACGGTGCTTGGTCGAGAACTTTTGTTCAATTTTTTCGCTAAAAACTCTTTCACTATAATGGCTGTGTGTGATGGTGCATTATCATGGTGCAGCATCCATGAGTTGTGTTGCCACAAATCTGGACGTTTTCGGCGGATACTCTCACGCAAACGCTTCATGACGCCTAAATAATATTCTTTATTCACTGTTTCTCCCTTTAGAAGGAATTCGGAGTGAACCACACCACGGTAGTCAAAAAAAAACTGTCAGCATCACCTTGATTTTGGAGCGACTTTGCCGCGGTTTTTTGGGTTTCGGCTCGTTTTCGAGACGCCATTCTGAAGACTGTTGGCTTGTTTGCATGTCGTACTCATAAACCCATATCTCGTCGCCAGTTATTATACGTTTCATAAAGATCGGATCCGTAGAAGCTCGGGAAACCACGTCTTCAGCGACATGCTTTCGCTGCGCTCTTTGAACAAAATTGAGCTCTTTTGGAACTAGTCGAGCGGCGACGCCTTTCATGCCTAAAATGTCAATGAGAATGTTGTGGACGGACTTAAAAGATATGTTCACCTCACTAGCCAACTCTCTCAGACTCATACGTCGATTTTCGAGCACTAGCTTCTTGATTTTGTCGATGTTTTCTTTGGTCGTAGCGGTTGAAGGTCTACCAGAACGAGGCAAGTCTACTACTACTTCTCGGCCTTCTTTAAAAGCCTTATACCATTCATAAGCCCTTGTTTTCGATATACACGATTCGCCGTAGGTATTTCGCAACATTTTTAGTGATTCACCACATGAAATATCATTCGAAACACAAAATTTAAGGCACACTCTTTGTTCAACAATATTTTCCATTGTAAAAATCGCTGAGAACTCAAAACTATGACCAACAAAAAGTGTAGTTTAAAACAAATTAAATGACAGATCCCGCTCAAACTTTGCGCGCTAAATCAGTACAGTGCTACCAACATGCAGTAAAAAAAATTAGAACGACCTCTTTTACGCGGGTCTTTTTTATTGACATATTCCCGATACTTTTTACACAGAGTAGTATCTATTTACCACGTTTTTATTAAGTCTCTTGTTTGTCTCTCTGTCTGTCTGTCGTTCCGGGAGGAATGTAATAATTGATTTTAAACTAACTTCACGATATGCTGGAAACATAAAACTTTGAATATAGTTCAAATTCGGATGATAATGCGAGAATATGAAAAAAAACGTGCTCAAAATTGAAAAAAAATTCTTTTTTTACCATTTTACTTTATTTAGTTGTGTCGGTATCGTACCAAAATCCTCAAATGCTAACCTAACCGAATGTAATCTATACGAATTATTTAATTAAATGAAATACGGGAAGATAAATAAAAAACTAATTTAAACCTATAAAGATCGAAATAAACCTAACCTGTATGGGCGAGTCAATTTTAAATTTTATTTATACAACATTAAACTAATAGTTCCATTAGTAATTTACTAATTCTTTCACTGAAGGTGTAAAAGTGCTTAGTACTAACTTATGAAGTAAATCAAATTGGCTGATTTCGAGATGAAGTCGCAATTTTGACACAAAAACTAGAATATATGAATATATTTGTTACGTGATCTTATCTATAGAAATCAGATCCCGATCAGCGTTTTTTTTTGCTTCTATATTATTTTTTATAAATATCGTTGTTTTGATTCACTTGGAGCTTTAAAGTCTGTTCGCTTAGATACGGTCGCCTTCGTGTCGCACCGCCTCGGCACGTGCTTCATCTTGTCAAAGGCGTCGCCGCGATATCAAAGGTCACCGCGTGCGACTTACAACCGTGGGAAAATCTAGCACTTTAAAAAACGAAACACCGTATTGAAAGGTTCTTGGCTACGTAATTTGTGTTAATTACTTCTTTACTTATATTCGTGTTTTATTACGAAATACTATTTAGTTATTTTATTTTATTCTTAGAATAGAAAAATATTTATTCAAAAGCCAAGCAAAATAATAACAGCCTCCAGGTGTACCGAAACTATCTAAACGAACAGACCGTTTAAACATAAAATTCTCGTTTATATTAGGTATATATTTACACATACTTACTGTCTGGTTCAGTAGCTTCAATAAATATATTGTCTTACACACATTCTTGCTTAATTCTGCTTATGGTATAAGATTTAATAAGAATATGGAATTTTATGTCGCCTTTAATAGGAATCTGTTATATAATATTACCTGCTGTTGTAATTGCCATTAATCCCGTTTCTCTTAATTTTTGACACTCCAGAGTGACTTATTTGAAATTTGATACAATTGATAGATTTTTATGTATAAGTCATCTATAACTTTCATGATTCCTTAAACTGCTAAACAGCTTCATTACATTTATTAGTTATTTGCGGGAAGCATAACATGTTTATTGCGAAGTGAATTTTACAATCATCGTTTTGCTTTACCGACATTTTATTTCTGACAATATTTCTTTTAGCGTTTACACATTGGTTTTTGTACAAGTAAACACTGAACACGAAACAATTCATAGATTTTATATAGATAGCAATGTGTGTAATTTGTGTGAATAACTACGACTAATGGGTCAATGGGTTGCTATTTTGCTAATTTAACCAAAATTATTCTAGTAATGGTTGTATAATGCTAGCATCTTTTTCACTTTTGCTTTAAATTTAAAGGCTTATTTGCTTATAAAAATTTACCGTAAAACTTACCGGAATATTAAATACGTAAAATGTAATTGGAAATGAGTGCTTTGTGTTTTGCTATTTTTTAATCTAATATTTTATATATTATGCTTATGGAAAAGTTTTATTTTTGTGAAGTAGTTTGTATACTATTTTTGAATTACAAATTTTAAGAGTACTAAAGTGGCAACAACTGTATTTTATACAATTACACAGTTTTGTAATAAACTCATTGTATTTACTTTGTATTGTCTGAAAGTATGTTTTATTTTTCGGTACTAACAGAGTTGATATTTTTTAACGTAGATGGCGCTACTGAAACGCATGTATCTTAAAACTATTTATTTAAATTATATTTATATGTTTTATTGGAATGAAATATTTAAGTATTAGTTATTAAATAAATTTAAAGAACATATCTCTTGTCGTTAATAATAAATAAAATACTTTACCACTTTCATTATTATCGGATATGTTTTTTCTATCTTTTAATATGCTCGGGTGAAAATTATAATCATTTTATATTTATAATCGGTAACACTACCTTTCATGTTTAAAGTCTGGAAATGTCAGTGCCGTTAGTACTAAAATTTGAGTAAAATATTTCTTGTTGGTGGTGAGCTTTTGTTATTTCAAGGTATGTATGTGACAAGTATGCATCCCTAAAATGAAGTCCAAATATCTCATTACTACATAATACTTTACTTGTAGTTTAATGCAATGTATCCAATCTTTCTATGATTTAGTGTTATGTCATCTCCTCCCTTATATTGTCTTTCATGATTCCTAGAAATTAAAGCTATGTTTTAATTTTGGTGAGTTCCTTAAAATACCCAAATGGTTTTCAGGGTGAACATGTTAAGGAAAAGTAAATCTGAAAAGAAAAAGGAGCAGTTTAAGTTGAAGAAATTATTAGTGCGTTTTACAAATGTTATTGAGCTCATTTTCTGTTAGTTATTATTAATGTTGACTTACATACATGCATGATGCACGCACGTGCTTGTGATTTCTAACTATTCTCTATTGTATATCATAATATAGAACTCAGTTTAGAATTGATGTATTTGTAAGCAGCAGTTTTTCTTGTTTTGTATTACCAATACAAGTTGGATAACGAAACGGTGTCCAAAAATCTCTATTTAGCGTGACATTATTTTTTTAGAATTACCTAAAGAGTTTCTAAGACCATTACCAATAAATGTTTACTTTAAAATAAAGGTGTATTAGATTGATTTAGTTTTGTTAAGAGACTTCTCTGATACTATTATGTTGTTTACACTGACAGGCTCGTTTTTAGTTACAGTCCTCGATTCTAAATTTTCTGTAGGTTAAGTTAAAAACGATCTAATCTAAAGTTTTGGCTGTTACTTTTAAAAGACTGAAATTGTTTTTAAGACTGCAGTATTATTAAAGATTTCATATGAGCCATTAAATTACGAGTGTGGCTAGGCCAAAGGGTATTTGTAGTTATTGTTATATGTTTATTCTTCATCGATTTTATCAAAGTGTAATTATTTAGGTTAAGTTGATAAGAGTTTTATAAAATGGCTAGCCAATAGAGTGCTGTCATATTCTATATTTCTATGTTAAAAATATTAAATGTTAAGTGATTTAAAGAAAATATAGTTCATAATTCTCTACTCTAGGTTGAAATATTTCCTCTTACAGAAATCACTGTTTGAATATTCAAAATAATGATGCCATCAGAAAAAATTACGTTATCTGATTTGCGTTTAATATGATTGAAAAAGGTGTTTTAAATACCTCATTGCGTTTTAGTTGTTAAAGTGATTGAATAGATTTAAAAGAGTTATATGCGACAAATAAGAATGAAAAGATGGTCCTAAGTTTCCTTTTGGCTTATTAATAACTTGTAATGTGTAATTTTAAATTATATTAACTACCCAAATAAAAATTGTAAACTCTTATGATAAACATTTGCTAATTATTTGCCAGTTATGTATTTAATATTATCAGCTTTATTAAATGTTCTTAATCTAAATATTTCATTATGTGATATTTCTCTGAAACAGTAATATTTGTTTGTGTTGGTTATAAAATTTGCTAATATCATAAATAAAATCACTGAAGTATCAAAATTTGTTACACGGCGTATTCTTTGTTATCACTTTTGTTTTATAATTTGTTTTTTCAATAATATATAATGACTACAAAGTTTAATAACGTTTTATTTTATGAGATGACATAATTTACTTTTTATTTGTGTTTACTTGTATTTCATCTGATTTTCATTGAAGGGATGCATATGTAAGGAAGTATATGAAAACGTTTTTTTTTTATTAATTCATGAATTGCATGTTTTCTATCTAATAGCAATATTTTTTCAGCACTATCCGAACATAAATACTCTATTACTTACATTAAAAATTACCAAACAACTAATTTGTAATGGCTTGTTTTAAGAAAGTGGTTTAATGTGAACGCTTTAAACGTTTTTATTTAAGCGTGGGCTAATGTTATAATATTAAACTCTGCTTTAAAAATATTTTTGCGTAATGTATGTATTACTGTATTCTGTAAATTTACATATTTTTATAACAAGCACGACATCGCACTTCATACACACCAACACTTTCATACTTCATTCGGCTAACATATTTTATCACGCAAGTTTTCATTATGTTGTTCTAACAATGCACTTGGAAGATGGTAAAGTGAGATATATTGTAATGGTAAGTTGGAATTCGGTTTAAATAAGTCAATACATATTGAGATATTCTGTTCCACGTTATTTACTTTGCTATTGCGAAATGTTAACGATGTTAAAAAATCAACTAGCTACGATATCGGATTTCCGCAGAGTAACGCCTGATTCTATTAATAATATTGCGAAATGTGAGTATAGTATTATTTTGCTATTATTAATAGAGAAAAGAGATTCAAAATGGTTTTGGATTTACAAATTGCCTGGTGTTTTGCTGCATATGCACATCTATTGTACCGACATCTCAGACAAACAAAGAAAGATAGAGCGCTGAACACATTTCACAAGTGGCGCCGAAACATTGAGCGACTTGTTGATCCTCTCTCTCACACACAAATTTTTTCTAACACGCCGTAAAAGTCCATTGCTGGATTGCTGCACACATGCGTGTAAAACCATACTGTTGGTTTCAAATGAATATGTGAGCGTGACAGTGTGTTTTTACAATATATTGAACATGGTATCAGATTGGTTTCGGCGTAGCTTGGAATGTAGAATTGGAGTTGAGTTTCAACAGACGCTTGAAGGATCTATCTTTTTTAAAATCTTTTATTTAACTTGCAATTTTTGTATGTTTGTTAGGATTGAAACTTGCAACTGAATTTTAAAGCAGTTATCCTCAACTGCTGAAATTTTGTATACATGTTTATTGTTGATCTGAGACACCTACATAAACAATTCGTGTTATAGTTTATTTGAGCATTGTCGGCTTATTTAGCTACGTATAAAACATAAAATAAATTTACAAGGAGAAATGCTAAAAATAAAGGCACTATGCCTTGATACAGCGAACGAACGAACTTGGTGTTTAAAACAGCCTGCTTTGCAGTCAATGCACAGTATCGAAAAGCGCATGATTCTAATAATTTGCAGTAATCTAAAAAATCTTTTATAAAGCTTTATCAGTAAGGAGGCAAGAAAGAACACATAAAAAAGGCTTGTCACATCTGAATGCGGCCACATCTTGTGATTTAGTAGTAGTTTTTAAAAAAGTGAACTTTGTGTATAAAGTTCGCTTGTATCTTTGGGTATAATACTTTATTTTCTGGTATACCGCATTTCAAAACGTTACCAGCGGAAAAATGTGCCATGTCAATGTTTTCCCGGATATAATCATTAAACCGCAAAAGAAAAGAAAAGTAATAATGGTTTGAGAACTAATGTTTATCAAATTTTTTTAACATATATTTAATTTAATTTATTTGGATCTATTTTATAGTTTATAGTAATTAATTTAAATTATCACATTCATGAAATATTTGCAGCCTTCCACCATATCTTCTAACTCTCTATTGCCCGAGGAGATAGCCAAGGAAATGAAAACCGAAGATGAAATACTAGCGCAGCTTAGAGCGTCACAAAATATTAGCACGTCGCAGACGTTGCCGTTCATTAACGAGACTGTTTCAACATCGATTAGTAATAAACCAGACGAAGTCTACTCTCGAAGCATTAGCGCCACTCCTAATTTAGAGGAGCTGCAAAAATATATTCAATCTGAAGCGTTAGCATCGCCATCTGCTGCAACGGCCAGTGAACCAGCGGTGGAAAATCAAGAAACAGAGGTAATGTCGCAGAATTGTAGGGATACCAAATATTTTTGTTATAATATCATTTATTTTCTGTCGATTTCTGAATTTAAATAACGCTATTGTATCAGGTCAAATCGGAAATAACTCTAAAAGTTGAGCAAAAAGCTCCTGAAACTGTTATCCCTAAACAGCAGCAACAAAGCCAAAGTAAAACTTCGACCGAATCAAAACCAGCAAAATCAACCAAATCAGAAAGTGAAAAAACGGTTAAAAGTAAGGAAAACAATATCTCAAAGAGTAAGAATAAGAAATCAAAGGAAGAAAAAAAGGAAGACATAGTTGAAGTTAAGAATAAAGAAGATGATAATGTGAAAACGGAGGTGAAAGATTTTATAAATATTATATTCATATTATAAAATTATTGCATGTGCATAACTTTCTTTTTTCATAATACAGCCAAAACGGTCAGTGGAGTCTTCACCGTCGAAGACTAAACGAGAAGATAAACAGAACAGAAAGGAGCTAGAGAGAGAAAGAAAGGTAAATATTGTAAATTTTTTATTAATTGAAAAATAATGTCGGTTAACGAAATTAAGAACGCCGCGTATTGAGCTTATTGTAAATTCAAAAACACACACACACACACACATACACACACACGCACCCACGCACGCACGCACGCACGCACGAACCACACGCACACACACACACACACACACACACACACACACACACACACACACACACACACACACGCACGCACGCACGCACGCACGCACGCAAGCACGCACGCACGCACGCACGCACACACACACACACACACGCACGCACACACACACACACATACACACACACACACACACACACCATAAATATACATTATTATTGTTTTAAGAACTGTATTTTAGTAACAATATCATCATAACAGTTAAAATGAATCATTGTATTTTCAGGAATGGTTAAAAGAGGGTTTTACCATCGTAAAAGGGTCTGAGAAGAGTGTTACTAAGGATACCAAGAAAAAAGTAGAAGAACCAAAAATTTCTGATGAAACTGACCGTAAGAGGTAAATACCACTGTATTTATTCCGAAAATTGTTGGTACTAAATACAGAAGAAAAAAATATTTTGATTATGATGCAGTATATATATAGTAAGAACTTGCTACCCGTCTGGAGAGATACGGACTTGATTGTTCACGAAATCTTTACTTTCAAGGCAAACAATAATTTTATTTCGATTGAGCAAGTGCTTTTATGTGTATATTCGTGTGTTTTAAAGATCGTAATATTGAAAGTAAAAATAAAAAGTAAAATCGTTGAAAAGCCACTCTTTCAAAATTACGATTTAAATTGTTATATCTTGTCTTCTTGTCTGTTGATGCGCTATCGGAATGGTCTGCTGTCATGCTTACAGTGTCCATTTAACAGCTGAAATCAATAAACTTCAGTTTTCAATGAATGTGTGACTCTCTTGCATTAAATATATATTTTTGTTTGCTATGTATTTATTTTGAATTTTAGTTCTTCATTTATTATTAACAAAAACCTGTGTATTTGTTAGCCGCATTCGTAATTTATAGTAAGAATAATACTGGTAACATCACATTATAATGCGCCTTTAAAATGTTAACGCAGGAAAGAAGAGGAGAAAACCGCTGCTGATGAAAAAAAGGAGAAAAAAGCTTCAGAGAACCAGAAAAAGCAGCAGGTATTCTTGAATTCATAAGGGGCGCAAATATCACGTGTATATTTAATAATAAAGCTGATATTCATTTTAGCAAAAATGTGTGCGATCATCATAGTGCGTATATTGTATGGATGTCATGTCTTTAGTGTGCTATCGTGATGTTTTTGTTATTAAAATAATAAGTCATTATTTTAGGCGTATATGATCTAGTTTATGACGACAGATATAAAGGATGATTCACACTACAACGTTCCGCGGCCGGGCCGTGCCCTGGCCGGGGCACGGTCAAACATTATGGTGTACTTGTTGTATGAAACGATTCATGCCTGACAGTGGCCCGGCCGTGCCCCGGCCGTACGCCGCCGGGACTCGGCCGGGGCACGGCGTTGAAATGTCGGTGGGTATTGTTTCCCGGCTCCGGCACGGTCCGGCCCCGACACGTTGTAACATGAACATATGCTCCCGGGCGCGCCGGAGAGCAGTCAACGTCAAATCTTAGTGAAGTGAGCAGCTCAACAGCAAAATGGGCGATGAAAAATTATTAGAATGTGTGCGCAAGTACCCTGTGATTTACGATATGAGCCATCCTAAGTATTTAGATAACAAATACAAAAATATTATTTGGAAAACCATTTCGGACGAAATAAAACAATCTGGTAAGTTGTAACTTTTATTTCAATTTACATTTATAATAGTTATTCAAGTGTCACTAATTACTTTACGACTACATGTAAGTACATGTGAGTGGGATTATCGGTTTTTAGTAGGTATTTTTGAATATGTTAGGTAAATTATAAGAAGTATATTATAGTGTAAGTATGTATTTATTCTTGATACTGTTGTCCTATAAAGTTACGTCCCGCTGTTGACGCTAAATATTCTTTAAACGTTTCTCTTACCGCAAATGCATCATTAGCCGGTCTTCCTGGTTGAACGCTCAATGGATTTAATAAATGTGGTTGCGCATTTTGTGCACTATGTTTGATAAGCCCTGTGTAATCTTTTTGTTCGCATAAAAAATTATGCAGTACGCATGTAGATAGAATAATGTAATCAACATTTTCTGGAGCAAGTTTCATTCTTCTTTGAAATATTCTAAATCTTTGTGTCAAAATACCAAAGGCATTTTCGACTAGTCGCCGGGCCAAAGACAGTCTATGATTGAAATTCGTTTTATTAGCGTCACCTGTTGCTTGGTGTCCTGGATACGGTCGCATTAGGTATGTTTTCAAAGGAAACGCTTCATCACCAACTATTACATATGGTGCAAACGTAGAGGAACCGGGTAAATTTTTACCAATAGGTACATGAAGCGTTCCAATTTCTAAACGTTTTCCAAGATTACATTGTGCAAAAATGCCACCATCACTGTTTCGTCCGTAAGCGCCAACATCAACTGCAATAAATTTGTAGCATGCGTCCACTAACGCCAATAAAACAATTGAGAATGTGTGTTTATAATTAAAATATATAGAACCACTATTGGCTGGGGCTTCAATAACAAAATGTTTTCCATCCAATGCGCCTATACAATTTGGAAAACCTCTAAGGTTTTCAAAATCTTCGGCAATTTTACGCCACATTTCTTCTGTTGGTTCTGGTATAACGTCTTTCTTAAATCTCATCATCATCTCATCTCACAGTACCATTTATACAGGTTGTAAAGAAAATTACTTAACTTGTTCATTCTATACTATCTTTTTGCAGATGATGTATGTAAAAAAAGGTGGGCAAACATACGGGACCAGTTCAGAAAACATAGAAACAAACGTAAAACCAAGAGTGGACAAGGTGCTGTGGCTATAAAAAAACATAAATATGAAGAGAGCTTGAATTTTTTACTGCCTCATATACAGGATCGAAATACAATAACAAGTATCGAGTCTGAGAACGAAGAGACGCAAAACGAAACGGTTACTTCGCCAGTTACTACGCCCAACGAAACAATTAACACCGATGAACAGCAGCGGCAGGAAGATCGCTCACCAGCTATTAGTGAACCAAATTTTACGCCCCCTGCTGATCCGAATCCATATCCCCCGTCAACTGCACAATTCACTCGTTCCGGCAACCGCAATCGCAATGCAACCGTTGCAACTGCACACAATCGCCGTCGTATAGTGCCACAATCCCAGTCCTCTGCGTCAAGCGCATTAATGGAATATATTCTAAAAAATAAAGAAAAGTCCAACACACAAGACATTCATCCTATTGATGCTTTCTTCAACGGTTTGGCAGCCACCATAAAATCTTTTTCCCCATACTATCAGCATCTTGCAAAAGGAAGAATATTTGCAGTAGTACAAGATTTGGAGTGGGAGCAATTGTCATCAGAGCCTTCTTCTTACACATCTCCAATGAGTGGAACAACGTCGGCGTCGTCTACTAATTCAAGGTCGGTGTATGCACCGGTTCCGATGACTACACCAACGCCAACACCGGAATCAACGCCTACGGAACCCACGCCTTCGGAACCTTCGCCTTCGGAACTTACGCCTTTGGAATCTAATAATTTGTCTACTTTATTTTCAGAGTTCACGGCAGACTAATGAAATGAATATATACTATGGGAATTATTTAAATTTTTACTTTTTTTCATTCACAATGCAATTTTGATTATTGAAAAATTGAAAATGAAGTATTTAGAAAAAATCGACCCATCTTACAACCAGCTCTGATAGATAGTTGTGAGACGGGTCAATTTTTAAATACTACATTTTTAAATGCTATGTGATTTAGTACATATCAATTTGTTATTTACCTGATGCAGACTGCTAATCGTTCGATGGGAGATATAGGCTTTTGAAATCTTGTAATTTTTTTGGTTAGGTCTGGTTTTACTTTTTCAAGTAAAAAAGTAAAGCATTCTTTAGACATTCTAAAATAACCATAAAACTTGCTCTCATCATCTATTAATTCTTTGTAAAGTAAAGCAAATTCTCCTTCTGCTTCTCGCTTTCTCCAGGTTGGATGTACACCCCATCTTCTTTTAGTAGTTTCGCTTCGTTTTTCCAATACTTCATCATCGATGGCAATTGCAATAGCTGCCAATTCAAATTGTGAAAATTGCATATTTACGTAAGCGTGAAGTCTATCGACAGATGAAATCACTAGCTGACAAAAACCTCATAACACAGAGTCGTGCATAAGCCACGGTCGTGCAAACAGCCCGGTGTAACATGAATGACTGGCCCGGCCAGCGCACGGTGGACGTGTCCCGGCCGGGGCACGGCCCGGCCGCGCCACGTTGTAGCGTGAATCATCCTTAACAAGTTACTAAATGTTTAAAATAAGTTTTAAATTGTTGCCTTAAACATTTCATAACATATTCTTGTATGTCATAAAACAAAAAAAAATCCTGCATTTGTACATTCAGTTCAAGGTGTTTAGTGTCTTCAAAGGCGAAGACTTTTCTAAATGTTAAGCCGTAATGCTTTGTAAGTTCTAAAACGAATTGACTTTGTAATATTGAGCTATCGGGGTTATATTTGCATGCCGTTAACACATGAATAACCTTATTCAATTTTTTTGTTAATCCGTAAAATTGTTTGTATTGAAACTTCATGAACCGATGAGAGGAGAGAAAGAGAGCTATGCCAGGAGAGAGAACTAGGTTATATTTTATCCAAAAAAACTTATTTAAATATATAAAAAAAGATATTTTTGGAAGGGCGAAATTTGTTGTAAATAAATGGTCTTTGATCTGAATCACATTAGTAGATCCTACCCAGGCGAAGCTAAATCGGATCGATCATCATCATTATCATTATTACAGCCCTTCACAAGTCCACTGCTGAACATGGCCTCCCCCAAGGAATGTCACAAAGAATAGTCCTGAGCCATCTGCATCCATCGACTTCCTGCATGTCTTACCAGATGGTTTATTTTAAGATACTTAAATAAATTGTATTTATTTTATTAAAGTTTAGTTAAGTTTAGTTTTTTTTTCATGCAATCACGCACATAATTTTCTGACGAAGATTATTCATTGTTTTTCATTCATATTGCTAATCTGTGAATAGCAGGAACAATTGCAGCGACAGTCGGAGTCCGTGGCTAAGAAGGCACCGTGGTCTGTCGTCGCAACTCAGCAGGCGCAAGCGACTAATAAAGACGGGCTTACCCTGGCTGAGATACAGCGGCTCGAGAGAGAAAAGAAGTTAGAGCAGATAAAAGTTCAGCAGCAAATGATGCAGATTATAGCGCAACAGCAGGCCGCGGCCTTGGCAAGGGAACAGGTGAAGTAGTAGTTACTATCTTAGGTTTTAGCGTTTATTAGTTCGCACTCTTTTTAAGGGAGGTATTCTGATAAGTATGTTTTGTCCGCTGCTGTTTGGGGGTGAACAAATTATTACTGTATAAATTCTATTTGAAGTTAGGCAGAGACACAATACAATGTTATGTTGTGATACCATATATTTGAAGTGTAAAATGAAAATCAAACAATCAATTAATTATCTGTAACAAAATTGGATAATGCAAGAGAATTGTATGTATTGGTGGAGCATTTAAAAACTAAATTATATTATTATTTTTGTAATACTTTTCTTCTGATGTCAACGCTTTACTTACATACAACATACAACGCTCTACATGTTGGCCAACAAAGTGGCGAACGTAGTGGCCAATGGCATTGGCTATCTTATAGAGCGGGTGTTTGTGCTTACCTTGGTGTGTATTGGAATGATTGCCAACAAGTCGGCGCGACGTGTGTTGTCGGTTTTTTTTTACAAAAGATCAAAGGATTGTTGGATGAGTTTGGCCACCGCGTACACACGTTGGGCACGCTTTTATTTTGCTGCGAGCTCTCAGATTGATTGCACCAAATTGCACGTACCTGATTTAAATTTTATACCTACGCTTCGTATGGCGGATGCCCCGCCCCTATTACCAGCATTTTAGTGCCAATTTCAATTTTGAAAATTCCTGCTACTTTAATTAGCGCACAATATTTTTAAACATTTGTTTTAATCGATAAGCTATTTATCTAAATAATTAATGAATATTTATTTGCAATCAAATGATTACGAGAATAATTTTAAAAACGACGCTATGCAAATAAGGCGTTATAGCTCAAATTCAAGCCAACCTGCACAGAATGTCATCCTTTTGTGTAGTTACCTAATGCCAGCATAGCATAGGGCCTTATGTAGTTTTAGACGCATAGTAATAAACTCGTAACAACTTTTAATTTTGAATCATGCATGTCACAAGCATAGAATACGTATTAATGCAGACGACAACAATTATTTTATTTTAAAGTTTTACTACTCACCTAACCGTGTTTTAGTTTTAAGCAGTTCGATCCTTCTTTTGAAAACTAAACAATTAATTAAAGCAAAGTATGAACAAAAATGAAGCATATCGATTTACCGTGCAAGTTTTCGAATCATCATTATTAGAGCCCTTTGCAAGTCCACTACTGAACATCCTCCTCCACAGACTGTCGCAAAGCATGATCCTGATGAGCCACTTTTCTATTAAGTTTAGTTATAATTAGTATTACTAAGTTACTTTATTTACTAAGTAAGAAGGCGAAAAGACTGGAGTGTCTACAAAATGGCATAACAATGATGAATGAATTGAAGAAACTTCGGTTTATAGAGCTCTACTACCAAGCCGAAGATTGTAGAACCCAAGAAATAAACATTGTAACAAAAATAAATGGAAATAATAATTTATTATACACATTCAAGTAGTATGCTGTGAATAAATAAACCGCAGCTGCTGTTAGAGCCTTAATATCAATTTTAATAAATTCGTCCGCACATTGGCGTGAACAGAAGTTAACTGAACGACCTTCCAATGTGTGGACACCGTCACAAACTCTTGGTCAATATCTTTGCCACTACATTCGCCACTATGTTGGCCAACTTGTAGAGCCGCCGTAAAGTAACCTCACATTCTTTATTTTTGCAGGAAATGCAAGCTGGACTCGGTTGGGCTAAAAAGAAGGGGACCAGTGCCAACATATCGGGACAAAGCTTGGCTGAAATCCAGGTGATTATAATATCAATTTATTACTCTAGTTTCGTACCATATGAAATTGGTATTTTTTCTTATATTTCTAATAAATTATGTATTAATTTTTTTATTGCAAAATTAACTTATAATGAAATATTAATTTAATTCAACGTCAAGACGTCAAAAAAGTTATGAAAATAAAGTAATATTTCCTTACATAATTTTATAGTTCTACTTTTGCTAAAGATTTGTTTCATATTACACTTATAGGAAACTGAAAAAAAACTCAATGTTGGTGTGCATACCTGGTTATAATTCCTTTACAATGGGAATAAAACCTATTTCATTGATAATTTATTCGAGTATCTTTTACTTAATTACTGCTGATGAATTAATCGAATGATTACAATATTTTAATAAAAAATATGACCAAATTTTGCATGTCATTGTGGCAATATTTTAGATTGATTTGATTATGCGCTGTATAAACCACCATTAGTCGATTGTCAGACCCGCTTGAAGCTATAGCCAATTTTTGGCAGTCTATGCAAGGCGTCTATACACTATGGACGTCGACGAAGCTTTTATTATGATGACATTTATATGAGACAAACAAATAAAAAGGCAAGAATTTTTTTTTGTGTCAAAAAAGACCGCCTTCCTGAACTAGTGTGATCAAAACTTCAGGATTTATATTATGTTTTTCCATTACTACGAAACACCAAATTAGCGTACTATATGTTGGGTACCTACCTTAAAAACGCGATATAGAAGGTTTTCGGGCCCGATATTCAACATAATATGAACACCGTCATACGTATTCGTAGGCAAACAAGATTAGACGCGATTTTTATATGAACATGGAGGGCTGTCAAAACACCCGACATTTCATGTCGGCGCCGATAAAAATACTTAGCTTTATACCGGATGTTAGTGTAAACACCGTTATCCTTGAAACCAGTGGTTTGGTTTCACTTATTACATATTACACTAACACCCTGTATAGTGTCCTGTACTAGGGCAGTCGATTTTCTGTCGGGCCCGACATCCGACAGGTGGGAACAGGCTCTAAAGCATTTTCGTGTTCCGTTAGGCGGAGACTCGGAGACAAGCGTCAGTGGCCGCCTCGGCCGCAGCCGCCACGGCTGCTCAGGCTTTCGAGGAAGCCCAGGCTGCACCACCGCAAGCTGTCAATCACGCTCCTTGGGGTAGTTCAGCTAACGGAGGTGAGCGCACATTATTAATACAATAATTCCGGGGCTCAAAAGTTGTATTTTTAATTAAACGAAGCTGCCTGACGTTTACTGGGTTGTCAGTTTTTGATAAATCAAAAATAGTGTTGTGACTGAACGGAAAACAAAATGACTGACTGATAAAGAAAACGACTGAATGGTAAATTTTTTTTTAACTGAAGGCTTAAAAAATTACGTCAAGATTTATTTAAGGTACATCCATGTTAGTTCATCAGGTGAAAATTAACCGTAGTGTATGCCGTCATAGGGATTTCATTAAAATTAAAGATAATTTTTAATTTTGGCCTATCTGACTGTTACTGTAAATATCCAAAAAAAATTATTATTTCATGTAATAACATCGATGAAAATCTTTACATAATTTCCACGACTAAATGGTAGTATACCTACAAGTAGGTATCTGTCGCTTATAAATACCAACGGCGATGAGCATTTACAGCTCGCGGCACCTTGAAACTTTTATATATATGTAATCTTAACTTTAATAGGAGGTTTCTGGGACACTCAGCCAAATGCAACTGCCAAAGCTGTTGAAAAGTCGCAAGAGCCACAAAAGGTAGTTGAGCCGAGCAAAAACAACAAGAAGAAGGCTGCGCCTGCTGCTGCTCCTAAAAAAGAGACCACACCTGCAACCGAATTCGAGTTGTGGTGCACAACTGTGCTCGCTTCATGGAGGTCAAAAATCGATGGTAAAGTATATCTTTATTTGTATCTATTAAACTTTAACACATTATGAACATTAATAATATTTCAAATTAAAGAAAATATACAAATGCAATTTTTTTTCTCAATTTATTGTATCTCCGAGTATAAAAGGACTAAAGTGTCTACCAATCATAAAATTAAAAGATGAAGTTTATTTTCTCAAGTTATAGGAACAACTTACATACTAAGCAAGACTTCAATAGTCCCTCTTCCTATTGTAACATCATTCATTACTTAGTCATTTTTTATCTGACCTACTATATAGTAACAGCTTCTTCGAGTTTCTTATTGTTAAACATTGTAGAATTATACATTGTACAACAAAGGGACAAGTATTTGTATGGCATACAAGTAATTGTTTCAAGTTTGGTAGTTTGTCCATGTGCAATTTATGTATGTAAACTGCCTCCACAATACAGGAAAAATCTTATTGTGTGGGTAACGTTTTTGTTTAAAAAAATTCTTTATTAATTGTAGTCGTAAAGATTAACGATTTCTTTTAAATTTAGTATTGAAATTTGGGAGATACTTTTGCCTAAACTGTGATATGCTCTTTTACTTACGCTCCTTACACTAAGTAATCAACAAACATTTTGTGATACAATAGATTGATGAGGTAGACATTTAACAACAGATATTTCTTAAATTTATATTTTATAAAATCAGTTAGTTATTAATGTTACATCACTCCTTTGTTTAATGTCATTAACTGCATATTAATTGTATTATAACTGGTCTCTTTTAAGTGCCAACATTCGTCGGCTTCCTCAAAGACATCGAGTCACCATATGAGGTGAAAGATTACGTAAAGTGCTACTTGGGAGAGTCTAAGGATTCAAACGATTTTGCTCGGCAATTCTTGGAGAAAAGGTATATAATACACACTATGTATCTTTTGTATTCCCTTATTTCTTTCGAAAACGTGATTGAGAATAATCTTCTTCATCTTCAGCCTGTAAAAGCCCCCAGCTGAACATAGGAACTCCTGTTGTAGAAAATACTTGCCTGTTCGCCACCACATGATTGGTTTCTATATTAGACAAGTTTATGATCTAGTTTACTGAAACAAATAATATAAAGGGGCAGTTCAGTATTTTTAGAAGGTTCCTAGTTCATAAAATAATTATTCGGTAAAGGAATAATTTGGCGGTAAAGGAAAACATCGCAAGGAAACATGCATGTCTGAGAAATAAGAAAAAAATATTTCGAAGACATGTGAAGTTCGCCAACAAGTATTGGGGCAGCGCGGCGGACACTTCCATTCCCTAAAACCCTCTCAGAAATGAGAGGAGGCCTGTGCCCAGCTGTGGGACGTATATAGGTAACTTTAACTGTAATCAGAGTTGTATAATATTAATATTGAATATTTTGAGGCGACAGCTACTTATCTCAAAGAGTTTCCATTTTTAATGATTTGGATATATGAGTGAAGCTGTTGTGAAGGCTTTGGATTTTCATATAATTCTTGCAGTACTTTATGCAGTCACATAAACTGATTTTTTTATTTCAATAAAATAGTTAAATTATTTGCCTTGATTCTGTCCATTCTGTCCAACTCGTCCTTCCAAAGTTGTTTATTCCTAACAAATCTAACTATTACTGACTTAGCCTTACAAGCCAAATCTTTTTTGAATATTATATTATATTATATAAATTTATATTTTATATATAGCCTTAGCCTTAGCCTTAGCTTAGCTTAGCTTAGACTTAGCCGCGCTGTGTTATTAATGGGATTCTATGATTCTATCCTTCCTCTCCACACACAAAAGAGCTCTGGGGCCAGTATTCAGGGACAATCTCGAATTTAAACTTTACTATGTCAAAATTGGTTGTCTTTTGTCTAGGAATGTTTTCCCCTACCCCTTACCCCTAATTATTTATCTAGTCTATTAATTGCAAAATTTGTTTTTGATAGGTCTAAACTTCTCCGTGTCGGTATGGTGACCCCATCAGATGATCTTTGCTCTCCGGCCATGGCGATTAATCCTCGGAACCCTTCTTGTTCAGACTACCAGGAGGTGAAGGTTTGTGTATGTTTTTTTGACACTTATTTCACTTGAATAATTAAAAAGTAGTAGCGAAAAACTATCTGCTCTTACCAATGATGTGATTGATAATGATGATTTTAATGCAGAAGGCAACATCCAAGATACTGAAGAGGTGCCTAAGTAGCTCAGTGTCGTCTAAGGAGAATGAAATGTTTGGGAAAAATGGAAATATAGCTCATTCACCTTCTTGTTGTCTAGATCATGCCTTTTTTATAGAATAGGGTGACAAACGAGCACACAGTCCACCTAATGGTAAGTGGTTGCTGTGGTCCATAGACATCTACATCTACCCTCGATTACAAAACAAAATGCAGATGCGTTGTCACCTTTGACGACTAAGATAGAATGCCTCGTTTCCAATAAAAAGGGTCTCCGGTTCTCTACACTCAACATACGAAACACAGCAGCATTACGGTACTATTTGACGCTGGTATTCTGTGAGAGCGTGGTCCTTCCCCGGTCGAGCCGACCCATTCGTGCTACAACTATAATACTAATATAACTGCAGCGTGGCTCTAGCACGTAAAGCCTTCTACTAAATGTCTGTTGATAAGTTCAGGACCTCCATCAGCAGCCGAAGCATTAGATGACTGACTGATTTCTAATGATGTCAGGATCGTCTTTCGTGTAGTTCGCCCAGTAGTGTTTCGATGAGGCAAATCTACTGATTTAAACGGCAAATTGCCGCTCGCCTTACTAGGTATCAGCCGAAAGTCTGAGTCAAACAGATAAAAGAGGGCCTCTTTTCTAAAGGGCCCGCAATGCACCTGCAATTCCTCTGGTGTTGCGGATGTTCATGGGCTGCGGTAGTCACTTAACATCAGGTGAACCGTATGCTCGTTTGCCCCCTCTTCTGTAAAAAAAAAGTTTGTGGTTATTAAAAATTTATAATTACAGAGTATGATTTGAACTGTACTTGAGTTTGAAAGTCGGAAGAACAAATAATAATGAATTCTGAGTATCCACTTCGTCTTTAATGGATAGATGAACACGCGTTTCCGATTATTCACCCTAGGGTGGATTTTTTAGGGTGGATAAACTGAATTACCACCAATCGTGGGGTATCGTTTGGCCGACCCCGCTGTCAAGCTTAATGTTTCGGAAATATTACAGGGCAAGGGCAAAAAAACAAAAAAGAATAAGATGCTTAAAGTCGACGCTCGTATCCTCGGATTCTCAGTGACGGCGGCCGAAGATCGCATCAACGTCGGTGATATTGACACCGTCTGAACGCCTACGCCATTTTAATGTGTTCACTACAACTCGCCTTGTGATAATCTGCGCTGGTAATATAAATCATAATTTAAATTTAAACTTTTGACCGTCACACGAACGTTATTGCATATAATGCGACACACAATGGTATCCATTGCGTGCGCGCGAACTTTAGCAGTCACAACAGCAAATACATACTTTATGTGGTCGACATAAGATTTAATTTTTCGATACTATTTTGATTCTGGCCGCCGCTCCGATGACTCTGAACATTTATTGGTATAGTTGTAACATTTTCTCTCTCACAAACCGTTATTATTAGATAGTGTTGTGAAGTGTAAGTAGTATTATTTGAACACTCAAATACAAACGGTACCGGTACTACCTTTGTATAGAGACTTATTGTGCCTTCCCTGTCTATTAGCCGTTACATGTTTTTTGATAATATATTTTTAAAGATTGCATGAACTTTAATTTTAGTGCTAAAATTGTGATTTGAATGCGGTGCAGTGCAATAAACAAAAATAGCGACTGTGCATGTCTTAGTATTAAAACTTTTTAAGTATTTATCAAGGTTGCATTTCAGTTTTAAGATAATATTTTATCTAGTGGTGTAAGAATTCAAGTTTGATTAGTAAATGTTATTTAAAACCATCATAGACTAATAAATAGGCTTAAAATATGTATTTTTTCTCATGAACGGAAAAATCTCATCATCAATCATTTTTTTCTATAATTGCTTGAAATTAATTTGAGATTTTTGTCTGGATATAAAAAACCTGAATTTTATTTACCATTATATATAATCCATAAAAAATATTTCTATTTTAAGCGACTCGATTGTATTTTCAAGTCCATCCTTCATTTTATAAGAAATAATTTAACTATAAAATATTTCAAGAATGTATTATTTGTAAGGCAGATTTCCATAAAACATGTATAAATTTTTTTTTTACAATTTAAGTTTTAGAAAATTAAATTTATTGTGCCAAACTTTATGTAGTTATAAAAATTTGTTATATGGGAAACACTTTTTAATAATTTACGTAATTGATTTGCGTTAAAAATAAATATAATCTCCATCCTGTGAAATTGCTCAATTTGTATTATTTGAGGTATTTATTTGTGTGGCTCTTGTATGTTTAAAATAACCGACCAACTGCGAGCCGAACTCGCATATGAAGGGTACCGGGCCATAGTAAAATTCCCTGCAATATCAGAAATCTAAGGTTAAGCTGCACAAGTACTGCACCGCAATCAAAATGTGCAAAGGTTTGTACATTCTGCTGTTCAAATGTCACACAAATTGCAATATATTATTTATTTAATTCTAAGATAATTTAATTAAAATATGCTGCAATATGTATATATATATATATATATATATATATATAGCCCGTACGGATAAAGAATGGTGTTAAATATGGCGGCTTATAGAGCCCGTACCGTCAACATGTACAGTACCAATAGTGAAAACCCGCTAATAACCATATTATCATTATAACATTATATTATTCAGTTAATTGAAAGTTTTGAGAAAGAAAAAAACTGTACACGCAAGTGGTTACATTAATTTAAAATTAAATTCATAATACCCGTTCTGGCTTTGCCTGGGTGGTGTCTAATAATGTGGCGTTATTTAAACTTAAGATAATCATCGTTAACGTCCATTTTTTATTTTATCAATGTTTCTATTTTAATAATATCTCTAAATTTTTCGGATATAATTTATTCTAGATCACTCCTGGTATTACTCTCAATTTTTCGTGAAGTTTCATTGCAATCGGTTCAACCATTTCGAAGATTAGCTAAGACAAACAAGCAAATGAAAATTCGAAAAATGGCTACTTATTTATCAATGGCAAAAATAAATTTAAATATCATTAATTTATGAAGAAAACTCAGAAAGCGTCGTAGCTTACAAATAAGAAAAACTGGAGTGATTTTTTTGTGGTTTATGGCACTTTGTTATTATTAATTCAAAAAAAAAATGTTGGACTGAAGTTATAGAACTTACGAAAAATGCATATCACAACCAGTTTTTTTTTTGGTAATTTTTACCGGCTGGTGTAATAGGTGGTATAGATAGCGACGGTGTGCGAGCGAGAGGTGAATAGCGGTGCCGCCATTTTCAATCCCATTCTTTAACCGCACGGGTAGTGTGTATATATATATATATATATATATATATATATATATATATATATATATATATATATATATATATATACGTTGCTTCTTATAAATAATATTACGGAGATAATTTAAGTAATGCATAATAATTGACTATTCTAAATATTACTAGTCAATAATTGAACAATTTAATCCATTATATTTTTTGGGGTATTCCTCCTAGAGCTTTTTAATCTTTTGGTGATTTTTTCTGATATGATAAAAAATAAAATTTCATCAAAAGTTCTGTAAAATGTTTCCTATAAAAATGGGGAAAATACATTTAAAGTAGACTTGCAACGAATAGTATATTCGGCCACACGTCGAATACCGAATATTCTGCGGGCTGTCTGGTCGAATAGCCGAATGTTAGATACAAGTATTATTCGACTGGGAAGGAAGTAGTATTTTTTATTTAGAGCGTCTATTCTCTTAAGCAAGAAAGGAGTAAATTACTGCTTGAAAATTATGAAAAGTTAGTCTTTCTGCATCTTTTTTTTTCTTTCTATCCTTATCTGTTTCCAGATTCCTTCTATCTCTGTTCGCTGATAGTTCATTTTCTAATTTGTGGAAATTTGTTTTTTATATGTAAGTTAAATTATATACCTTTGACTACTTTAATGATTTCATTTTCATTTTACCAATTATCGACTACAAATAAAACCTCTTACTTAAGAGCATAGACGGGGCTGCATTTTTTACATACAAATCACATATTGATACCTCGGTTGCTCGGGCGCAGACCGACTACGCTCTTAAGTATTCGGTGTTCGGCCAAATAGTACCTAGATAGTCGGTATTCGACCGAATAGGATAAAAGTATCCGAATAGTCCGCATACCGAATAACAGCCGAATATTCGTTTTGAGTCTAATTTAAAGATAGTCACTGAAAACAAATTAATCATTGCTCCTTTCTCTTTATTAAAATGTATATTTTACCAAATGAATTTATTTTTGGATGCACCGTTTAAAAACTGCAAAAATCTATTTATTAAGTGTATGATATATAATTAACATTTACCTCTGTAAACGTTCGATTTTACATTACATTATGGTGATTTTTATTCCCAATCATATATTCGTAAATCAGTTGTCACCATTATCATTAAAAAGAAACTAGGAGTGAAAACACATAACAACTATTTTATTCGTCTTCATCAACGTATCGTATATGTGTACTCTGCTCGACAATATGTACTTCTGAGAGGTTAATTGAGCAATTAGTCCGATGCATTTATACTCCAGTTCGTGCGTATTTGGCGGACTTCACATCGTCCTCAAAATCTTTTATTTCTCGGGCATGCAGGTTTCCTCACGATATTTTCTCCGTCGAGCACGTGGTGGATAGACACTTAAAATTGCATTTAACAGTTTGCTCTCGTACCTTGAAATTAAGGCGGCTCAATGTATTTTTGTTACGAGTAGCTTATTAATGAAATGAAAAGGAAGAAATTAAGCGGATGATTGTGCAACTAGAAAGAGCTATTGTTTTATAATAACTATGTGTGCTAGATGGTTAAAATGAATTATAAATTTATATATTTTTCTTCTTTAACCCCTTACGTAGCTAATTATATGAAATGAGAAACTTCATAAAAGACTATGACTATGATAGTATCAATTGTATGTTTTTTTGTTTATACAATTTTAAGTTTAGTTGTACCTTATGTAAGTTTGCAATAGCTATAAGGGCCGCCACATACATCCGAAATTCCGTTTCGGGATTGCGTTTCGGAATTTCAATTCGGGATTCTGAATGCAGTCAGTCCATATAGAATCAATGACACACCTACGGTAATTTTCAATACAGAATTTTACGGGCAAAACGGGATTCCGTCTGTAGTGTGTAACGGGCCTTACGCGGTTATTCAAATGTAAACGTTCTATTATACCTTTTTAACGAAAAAATAATTGCATTATAAGACCTGTTATAATAAATATTAACCTTTTTTATATGTTAGTCTAATATCTTTAAAAAAATTTAGTATTTTATGTATATACCCACATAATTAAATTTTTAAATATATGTGTAAAATCAGTATGTACATAAATTATTTCTTTTGTAGACTTTTTAAATAGTTAAAACTGTCAGTTCGTACTTCGTTGTTGAACGATCTGCACTGTACAGAGATGTCCTAAGCTGGTCGCTATCGATGCAATTACTTATCGACAGTTTGACGTTGGATGGTTTAAATCTAATTAACAAAAACTTATTTATTTGAACAGTTACTCTAAAGCAAACTTTCCTCTATATCATTATAATGTCTAGAATCGAGAGCTGGACATTTACAGTGAATAGGTTCTATTTGTCTATAACTGTCCACGATGTCTCTTGGTCTTGTTGTGGTTAGTGTTCAATAGTAATAACTGTGTTTCTTGTCTGTTGATTTTCTTAAATTTGAGTATATCGACGATGTGTTTTGTTGGATCTTTAAGTATAGTGTGTGTGTACAGAGTTGGAATAATATATAATGATGTTCACTTAATTATATAATACCTGTAAGCCACACATAGATTTAGAAATAATATTAAATTAAAATATTCTTAGTTCATAACTAAACTATGAATTTTAATGTTAAGTGTTTCTATCATGTAAATGATTTGTTTTAGAATCGTTACTTATATAATTAATGGTTAAAACACCTTACTACAACACTCTTCTACTCTAATTAAATAATCAAAGGGATTTTAATAATTAGATTTATAAACCAACCATTGAATTAAATTCACGAATAAGGATATTAATGTATTTCAATAGCAATTGTGAAATTTCACGAATTGTTTGTGAGATGGCCTTGATTGTGGTGAGGACAGTTAGTTTAAGACTGTAATTTAATTATTT